TTGATGGAACTGGGGCCATACTGCTTGTTGACTTGCTTACTGGATTAATGCTATTTCACTAGAAGAAGGAACTTTGAAATAACTTGAGGCCTTCTGCTTCTAGTATTGAATGAATGCATTCTGGCTACCTGCAGAAAACAACTCTAAAATACATATACATGGCTATCCTAAGACACTAGGGAATGAGTCCAACAAGTACAGCATGGAGTGAGCCCTGGGGAAGGAAAGTAGATACTTGTCTGCTGAACTTGTGACTGGTAGCACTAATTCCAACATGAGGTAAATCCCTATTGTTGGAGACAGGGTAATCCAGGAAGAGAAAGAGACAGAAAAGGAGTCCCAAATTCTAGCTGACCCCTGGGTCGCTTACATGTGGAATAGACTTAGCGGAGCTCAACTAAAGATTTGAACATTCAACACCTAAGAAAGGATGCAGTTCTGAATTGTATCAGGATAGATGCCTACTAAATATAAATAAACCTTCAAAGGAAAAGTAACAGAATCAAGAATTGTCTTAAGATTTAAAATTAAAATCTGAAAATGAATCACATTCTCAAAAGAAAAGCAATCTCCAGATGTTGGAACTAACAAGACAGGTATATTAAAACAGCTGTTATAATGATTCTCATAATACAAGACAGAATATGAAAAGATAGATAATCCTAGCAGAGATTGAAACTATATAATGAACCAAATAGGAATTTTGGGACTCAAACTAAAATTTCTGAAACAATTTTGGATGGATTTAACTCGTAAGGAAGGAGCGTGCAGCTTTCAAGATAGAGGAGTAGACGTTCTCTATTAGAATTGACAGGGAGTGGGGAAAGGTTGATATACTAGGGAAGAGCATGTCAGATGGCCTTAGCACACAGACGTTACTGTTGGAATTCCAGCAAGAGGAGAGAGAAAATGAGATAGCAAATAGTTGAAGAATAATGGTAGAAAAATTGCACAAATTTGAGGAAAAACATCATTTGTCGATTGCAGATGCCCATCACAAAACAATCGGAAGGAATTACAAAGGAGATCACACTACAGCACATTAGAGTGAAATGTTGAAAACCGTAGATGAAGAGCCAGTCTTGAGTAAGAGGAAAATGACATAGAGAAGCAAAGATAAGATTAATGGCTGACTCATCAGAAAGTAGGGAGTGTGAAAGAGTATGAAATATCTTTGAAATGTAACAAGAAAAAATGTCAACCCTGAATTTTATAAGTATTGAAAATATCTTCAAAGTGAAGGTGAAGTAAAGTCACGTTGAAATAGAAGATGGCTAAGAGAATGTTACACCAGACAGAGACCAAGGGGGTTGCGGCCAAGAAGAATGGAGAGCAGGTGGGAGTGATGGGCACCAGGAGCAGTGACTCTGGGTAAATAGAAAGGGTTTCTTTTTTTGGAGGAGGGGGAGGGGGGATAGGAACCTTTTTCCTCTCTTGGTTTCCTTATATATGAGAGATCGTGTGAAGGGGGGAAATAATCAAAGTCCTGGGGCATTTTTTTATCCTATGTAAATATAAATATGGGCTTTTCTGCACATTATGTGAAATGCTAAGATATTATTCAGTCCATGAAGAGTTAGATTTGTGTTATAATGCCCAGAACAACCACTTGAAAATATAATATGTAAAAAGATACTAAGGAAAACTAAAATGGAATTGTAAAATATGTTGAAATAGTATAGTATATTTTTTAACTTGGGAAGGGAAGCAGAATAACAAAAACAGAGGATATAAATAGGACGCCAAGTATAAACCTCATAGATCCAGGAATAATTGCATTAAATAACAGTGGATGAAATACTCCAATGAAAAGGCAGAGATTGTCAAAATAGATTCTTTTTAGAAAAGGTCCAGCTGTATACTAGAAAGCTTTATAGTAATACTAAGAAACTTTAAGTAGAAAAATAGGAGACTGAAAGTTAAATGGGAAGAAAGGTCAAGAAAACAGGTTGGAATGGCCAATATTGCTATCAGATAAAGTCGATCTAAAAAGAAACTTATATCAAAGGGGATGCTTTGCAATGATAAAGGTCAGTTTAGCAGGAAGACACAGCATCGTGTATGTTTAGTCACTTAATACAGAGTCACTGATACAAAGTGACTGCATGAAACAAGAATTGACTAAATGAAGGCAGAAACAGGCAATTCCATTTCAGTTCAGATAATCAGAATATGATTTAACGAAACTCTTTCAGCACTTCATAGAACCAAACCAGCAATCATCAAATACTTAGAAGATCTGAACATCATTTTCAGTGAGCTGGACCTTATTGATGTTTATAAAAGGTTATACCTCATAACTGGAGAATTCATTTTACTTTCTAGTACAAGATACATTTACATGGATAAAGCATATACTAAACATTCAGGTGGAAAGATCAAAATTATGCAGAATATGAGCTACAACAAACTTGTAAGATCGAGCTAATGCAGGGCTTTCAGGGAATTTAAATCTATAAGTAAGTAGTTGACATAAAAAGCTAAATCTATTATTTTCTATCTAAAATTTAAAATAAAATTATGTACAGCAAACTTAAACCAAGTAAGTAGAAGGAAGAACATCAAAAAATAAGGACACATTTCTGAAGTACAAAATGGACGAATAGAGCAAAACAGTAAAACAAAAAAGTGTTTTTTGAAACGACCGATGAAATGAAGGTGTACTAGAGAGAGAGAAGACACAAGTTCCTAGTACTTGTAATAAAATGGGAGGCATCATTATAGACGTGGACAAGCACTCAGACTTTAAGGGGACATGATGAGCAACTTTATGCTGGTCATTTTGACAACTCATATGAAAAGTCTGTGAAAGCCCGTAGTCTAAGCAGGAAGTAACAGAAAGGTAGAATGCCCTTATCTTGACTAAATGTGTGAATTTGTCATGAAAAATTACCTCAGTGTGAACATGTAAAGCCTAGTCACACTAATGAATTTTATCAATGTTAAGGAGAAATCATATGAACCATAGAAAAAAATTTTCAGAAGCGATGAGGATGCTTTATTTTATTATCAAAAGTTGGTAATACCAGCATTATTTTGATGCCACCAAAAAAAGAAAGGTCATTATTTCTCACATGTAGAAATTCTTAATATAATTTTGGTGAATGGAATCCAACAATATATAAAAAGGATAATATATCAATACCAAGTGGGATATATGTTGGCACTCAAGGTTAGTTTAATGTCTGGGAATTAAGCAGTGTAACTTATATACATAGAATAAAGGTAAACACTATGTGATTATTTCATTAAATGATTAAAGTGTATTGGACAAAGAAAGATAGACTGGAAAAGAAGTAGTAGTATATTGTATTTTCAGACTGTATGGAACATTTTAAGTTACTTATAAAAGTTCATTCCAACAAGAAGAGATTATGATAATAAATTCATACATACCAGGTAGCAATCCTTGAAAATCTGTGTTAAAAGTTAACAACTAAAATGAGAAAAACACAATTCCACAGTTGTAGCTTATAAAATAACCCTAAATGGTTGGTTAAACAAGCAGGAGGAACTCAGGAACAACATGACGGATCTGGACAACAGAATAGCAGGCCTTACCTAGTTGACACTGCCCGAAGAAAATTGCCCCTAGCAGTGGCTTAATTCACATTCTTTGAAGGCGCATGGAAGTTTTGCCAAATTGACTGTGTTGGATCAGTTCAAGTTTCAGCAGAGTTCACGAATCAAACATAGTCATAGTGTGTTTTTTGACTCACAATGGAATTGAGCTGGGAATCAGCTGAAACTGAAAATTGAGGGTTGGCCATAAACAAGGTGTTTTAACTTAAATGTCTAGAAAGAGCACTAAAGGAGATCAAAGCAATGGAAAAGAAGGAAGTAAAACAAGGAGTAATATTTAGTAAATAGAAAATATACTGAATTGATTAAGATAAAAGTTTAAAAAAATTCGCAAAGTAGATGAACTTGTATACAACTGAGTAAGAAACAGCTACAGAACTCAATTTGATGTCACTAATTGAAACACCATTTTATGTACCCCCAGGGGACAAAAAGAAACAAAGTAAAGTCACAGCAGCTTTCTGTTGTCATAGACTTACTCAGTTTTGTAACTTACTGTGTTAGGAGATGCATGTTAAAAGGAGAACAAATGAAATTTACAAATTCCTGGGACCTCAGGGTGGTCCGGCACTTGTTCACTAAGCCGTGTTTTTCACGTTATGTTTTTTTTCCTTGCCGGGCAGTGTTACTAATGGAGCATTTTTAAGAGTGGTCCATTTCTTCCCTGGAGTTTTTTTCCCCAAGCTGTTACGAACTTTTATATACATTGTTGTCAAGAACCATCAAGGAGGGCCTCCCCCGTGGTGCAGCAGTTGAGGGCTGGGTTGCAAAGCTGCCCGCAGCCTCTGCAGCGCCGGTTCGATCCCCGGCTGCTCCCCGGTCACCAGGCGAGGGTCCCACATGGCGCGCAGACCTCTCCTGCCGCCCGCTGCTCCCCTCAGCAGTGTACTTTGGTCCTTCTGCCTGCTCTGCTCCCCGCTCTGGCTCTGGTGAATTCTCTCACCCTCCCGCGCTTCTGCTGTACCCAGTGCTTGTATAAATAAATAAATAAATAAATAAATATTAAAAAAAAGAACCATCAAGGATCTGAGATCTTTATTCCCTTTGTAAGCTAACAAATTAACTTGCCACCATAGGTTTGAAACCACAATGTCAAGGATGTTGTCAGAAAACCCCTCTCCCTCTGGATCAAAGATCAGCTTTATTATTCATGGCAAAAGCAGTAGCAGTGTGTCAGCAAGTTTGCCCTGTGTCCTGAACCCCAGGTCCTCCATGATACCTATCCTCGGCAAGCCCGTGCGCAGGGAGGAAGGCCAGCCCACACTGTGAGCAGGCAGCAGGCAGTCCAGTGTCCTGCCCAGGGGAGAGAGCAGTTGTTAAAATGTGGTCTCTCTGACTTGCCGAGATGCCTTTGTGACCCACCCTAGACACAGCTCTGTTGGAGGCTACAGATAAGCCCGCCCCTCCAGCACCCCAGGGTCAGTGGAATATGCAGGGGGGCTTGTCCAACTGCATCTCCCAGTAGTCGTTAGGCAGGGACAGCTGTGTTACTGCTGCTGCTTCTTCCAGCATCTGTAAGGAACATCAGGTTTTAAAGATGTTTGTGAATAGATACTGTAGGATAGGTGACATCAATAAGTAAAATTTAAGAAAGGAAATGAAGACCAAATTAGAAATACTTGGGTAGTTTTTTTTTTTAAGATTTATTTTAATTTTTTTATTTATGCATACAAAAATTGGGTGTAGGCCAGAGGCGCAGAGGGTGAGAAGATTCACCTGAGACAGAGCGGGGAGCAAAAACAGATGGATCTACGAAATCCACTGCTCAGGGGAGCAGCGGGGAGGCAGAAGAGGTCTGCTGCGCCCTGTGGGTCAGCTCCCTGACTGGGGATTGAACTCATGCCTACATGACTGGAGATAGCTTGCTAGTGCTGAAACTCCCCCTGTGCCACCAGGGAGACCCCAGTTTTTAAATTACGGAAAATGCAACAGACAGCTTAAAAGCTATACATTTAAAAACCTGTATTTTACAGACATTACTTGTTTTGAAGTCAATCTGTGTTCATAATAAAAAATTATTTTTTCTTATGAGAAAATAGCATTATGTGGAACTGATTGAAAATAGTAAAACTCTTCATTGGCAATTGAACCAATTCTAAAAAAAAATTAAAAGACTTGAGTGTATTTAATTTCAATTATTTAAGGTATAGCAGACCAGTGGGATTAGACGAAGAGCTATTGTAGTGTAATATGTATTTCGTGTAAAGAATAGGTAGATGTGGAGGAATGGTAAATGAGAGGTGTGACTCTTCAATAAATGATGTTAGGCTGTCATGATTTTGCATATGCAAAAAAAAGTTCCAGATGAATTAAACACTTAAAAGTGAGGAATAAACATTTCGTCATTGGGAGAAACTGTAGGAGAATACACTTAAGACTTCAAGGTTAGGAAATGTTACTGACTAAAGAACTCATAAGGGAAAATGGATATTTGACCATTAAATAGGAGAAAAAATCTCCTTATGCAAAAAGACAACATGAATCGTTAAAGGACATGCCGCAAAACTGCAGCATGTCCTAAATAGGTGCTTTAATTCAATGTCATTTTGTTACATTGTTGATGATAAACAGTGGGTTCTCTGCTGGGGCACTTCTGTAGAGTTGGCATGTTCTTCCCATGTCTATGTAGGCTTTCTTCAGGGGCTGTGGTTTCCTGTGACACATTAGGTTCATGGACATGGCTGGAGTGAGTGTTGGCAGAGTGTGTGGGTGGAAGGGCGCCCTGCCTGGAGGGGCTCCCCTTGTGCCAGGATAGGCTTTACCTCCCCTTTGGCCTTGAGCTGGAGTAAGTGGATTGGAAAATGAGTGACTACAGATGGTCACTGAATACTGGAAGTGTGTTAGGTCTTTATTGATGGCGTGTTTGTGACCGGAAATTGCCATACAAACTTGTTTATGTCTGCTAGCCTTTGGTAAAATTGGTTGTTTGACGTAAAGTCAAAGTTCAAGACACTAGTAATGATGTTAAATATGGACTCCCTGTTCTGCTTGGTCTTTGATATGGAGAAACATGAATGTCCAGGTAGTGAAGTCTGGAGTGTAAATTGGTATAGCCACCTTGGAGAGCAATTTTGGCATTATAGTTAGTGGATTTTTAAAAAATGATTTTACCTATGGAAACACCATCGTCAATTCCTTAAACTCTTGCACTTGTGTTCTGGTGGGTGGACTTGAGGACGTTTGTGTGAGTTTTGTTTATAATAATAATTATAATATACAATAATTGAATGTAGTGCAGTTGGCCATAAGTGGAGCGGTGGAAATTCAGGTCTTTTTAAAATGGAATATTATGGGTAAGAATAAAGACTAACTTTCATCAAACACAGTTGATGCAACATACACCCAATCTTGAAATGGTGATGGTCAAAAAAGGGCACAGTTTTTCACTACTGTTCTGAGTACTTTGCTGTTCGGTGTTAAAAATGATGGGCATGTTTTTGCACGTAGAACAATTTCAGAGGGAAACTGTCACAGGGAGATAAGGTAATGGGTCCGTCCATATGTGAGATGGAATTCTGAGAGATTTTATGTATAACTTACTAAACTATTAAAAACACTTTAAATATAAAACTGTGTGTGTGTGTTGGGGAGGGAGGGTTGACTAGATAATTAGCTACTGTTTTCTTTTAAAACACACAGTCCAGCAATTGTTAGTTAACAATTAGTGTCCAAAGTCTTTCACTTTGCATCTTCTCAAATCTGTCCGCTCATCGTGATGTGTTTGTTTATATACTTGTCAGAGATTGTCTCTTATGACTGAATAGTGACAAACTAAATGTGTTTGTGTTTGGGGATGTTTAGGTAAAAAAAAAAAAACTGTTATTAACATCTGTCCTATGGGCATAAGCTGCTCGTGTGGCTTCAAAACATGTGCACTGCAGCATACTCTACCTGATGGCGTGCATTTCTGTGTGTTGCTTGCAGCTCAGTAATATGAATGTCATTTTTGGATGAAGTAGAGAATCACAAATTTATCTTAAATTGTTAATCTAGTTAAATTTGTAGCTTAATGATATTTTCAGTATATCTTTAATATTTTGATGGCATTTTAAGAAAAAAAAAAACAAACAACACTTTCCCTGTCTTTAACTACTTTCCATTATGGTTATTGAATAAGGATTAATCCAGCATGTTTAATAAAAAAATTATTTTTTCATACCACAGTGAGTTCTTTTTTTCTTAACTGTGTAGATTTGGTCTAAATTATTTGACATTCTGGATTAGATATTTATTTAGCCTAAATGTTATGACCGTTTGGAAACACTTTAAGATTTACTTGTATTCATACGAGTGGCCATACTCCTAGATTGTGCGACTTACCGGGACACTGTAGATTTTGTTTTGTGATTTTATGAAGGTGAGAGTTTAACGGCAAGAATTTAACGGCAAATATATAAGTCATGGTTTAACCAGGAAGGCAGCAGGAGGAACACGCAGATTTTTTACTAGGAATTGGCACACGGCTGTGCCTGCTGCGCCAAGGGTGCCCAGCGTGGAGTCTGGAAGGACGATGAAGCGGGTAGATGTTTGGAGTTTAGAGAATCTTGAGTTTAGAGAATGTCTAATCCCTCTTTTAAGGACTCCTGTCTGAATAATTCAGGTCCACCTAGTACAAACCTCTCTTCTGAGTGATTTAAAGTCAACTAGTAGTTAATGTCTTTAATTTCATCTACGGAATCCTTTCAAAGCAGCACCTAGGTTTAAGTTAGAAGGAACTCAGGCAAACTAGGCTGGACATTATGTTTTACCTGGAAAGAATGTTTTCCATGGTCTTCTGTCTCCTGTGGCCAGTGGATGGCGTGACTAGGGGGATGCCACGGGCTTTTGAAAGAAGTTGTTGAGCTTTCCAGGATTTATTTTTTAAAATGTTGAAACATTTGAAGAGTTTCAGGATGTCAGTATTGTTTACTGAGGAGAATACCTTTAAAGGATATTATATGTCAGTGGTGAGCCAGGGATATAAATTTATATATTAACTGTTAACATTAAGATAAAAATTGTACATGCAAACAAATTGTAATACATGAGCCATAGACTTTGATGGTTAGGGTTCCTTTTAGTGTATAATAGTTTCTGCATGGAATACTTAAACTGCTCTATTTTGTAAAGAAAATAAAGTTAATTCAATTATTTTTCCTCCATAGAATGCCAGTTTTGTATTTTGGCAAGAAGATCCCTTGAGGTAATCCTAGGAAGGCCCCAACAAATCAGCTGCTTCCAAGTGCAGTAGGTGTTTATAGACACAGGCTTGCATTTTTTAACGGCTGCCTGCATTTATTTATTCAGTGTGTATTATCCATTCTTTTTAGAGTAGCATGAAAATAGTTACTGGACTTTCTGTTCACTGTGAGGCTCTATTGGTTCATGCTCTGCTCTAAGATAAAATTAGAGAGGTGAACTAGGTGTAGGGCTGGTATTCATTGAACATAGTATTTTCACTATTTCCCAGCAGATTCTTTTCATTTCACTAAATAAACATCTGAGCATGAAGAATATTCTCAGAACTATTAGGCAAGAATCCTAACCTTAAGTAGCCCATAGCAGAGATGAAAAGATGAGCTATATAGACATAGTCGCCTTCTAAAGAAATGTGTCACTGATGAGAATCAGATGAGGAGACTGCTAGGGAAATTCAGAATGAAGAACTCTTGAGACAGGTGGACAAAAATGAGCCTCGGGGATATTGTCAGCCTTCACATGAACCCAAGAAAAGATGGGGTTCGGTGATTCTGCGTCTACTGTGGCCTAATAGAGAGCGGTGTTGAGAGAAGGGGTTGGACTTGAGTTCAGATTGTGGGTTTTGACGTAGTCATTGAGGTGACTTTGTCTAAATTTCCTCATCTGTAAACAAAGGTTCATGACATAAACTATTTGGGCTAATTCGATACTGAAGTACTATCTTCGGTATTTTTTAAATAGATTTAATTTTATTTATTTATGCATGCAAGAATACTGGGGTGTAGGCCAGAGGTTCGTTGGGTAAGAGGACTCACCAGCGACAGTGGTGGGCAGAACAGGCAGATCTACTGAAATCCACTGCTGCAGGGAGCAGCGGGGAGACAGGAGAGGTCAGCTGCGCCATGGGGTCAGCTCCCTGGCTGGGGATCAAACCCTGGCCATGTGGATGATAGTGCTGAGAGTAACCCCTACACCACCAGGGAGGCCCTCTTAAGTACTTTTTTACATTACAGTTGATAGATCCATTTGTATCTGTGGTAGTTTTTGAAGATGTTTTATCCAATTATAATGATTACTATTAGCTTTATTTAAATTGAACTTCATTCTCACAATTAACCACAATAACGGTGAAAGGTAGCTTAGTTAAGCATTACAATGATTTAATATGATTATTAAAAAAGTTTTATATCTCTCAAAGTTTTCCATTGCATTCACATTTTAGTTACATGGTGAATAATGTCTGTATATTTGTTTCTTAATTAATGAAGAGGCAGTAGAACAAGGCATTTTACAAGAGAGGACTTGGGTGTCCTCTTCAAGCAGATCTTGCTGTTTTAGGTAAGACAAGGCTTAATCACTAGTGGACAAACAAGACACTGTCCTTGGCCACTGAAAACATTTCCTAGATCACTAATGAAACATTTCAAAGCTGTTGTCAAGACACATGACAAACAATATAGCTTTATATTATAGTTAGATAGATGTCGGTTGATAACAGGAAGAGGAATTTAAGAGTTATTTCAGTTCTGTTATCTCTGAAACTTGAGTGTGCTTGAGGTATTGTCTAATAAACAAAGCATTCTCTGAACTTAGATTTTTTTTTTTTTCCCTGCCAAGAGAATGACGCCTTTTGGCTGAAAATTAAGGTATGCAAAATAATCATAAAATGATTTAACATTTAACTTGAGCATTTGTATAACATTAGGTGATGTATAAAATATATAAAAAATGACGATTTGTAGTGATAAAAGCCTCCTGAGTGTACCAGGCCAGGTTTTAGTAAGTAAGTAGTTAAGAATCTTTTCAAAAATTTTCAGGGAAATTATAAATGTTGGATGCATCACTGTAAGTCATGAAGGAAAGCAAGCATACAGCTATTTTTACCTTTTAAAACCCCAGCAGAGTGGGGTGGGGGCAGTGTAGAGATCCTTCTGGAAATTGTTAATCTGACAACCGCGTTCAGATACAGCAGTGGCTGAAGTGGTGCTGATGCTGTGTCCACACTGTGCTGTCTCCACAGTCCTTGTGTATGGACTGTCTGGAGACCCACTCATGTCTTGTTACCAGTGTCACTGAAGAATAGTGTTTTTTTTAATGCTTTCAGTTCATGAATATCTTTGGCTGTGCGTCTTGGTCTTAGTCAGAAGTCCCACAGGAAGTGGAGTAATCCAGGATCTCCAAGGGAACAGTTGCGTGACAGAATGTACGCCTGTGGCCTGTTTTGCTAGTTAACTGGCAATGAAAGGGTTAAAAGAGAAAATCCTTTTTTAGTTACATTTTGCTAGATTTCAATAAAAGATTATAAGAAACGTCTTCAAAGTGTCTTGGTCGGGGTGATGGAGGCAGTGTGATGCAGGAGTAACGTAGCCCTAAAGAACTGTGCAGTGGGCTAGTTCTTCCAGCTAAGTAACACAGTCCTTGTGTTTTTTTTTCCCCTCTGGGAAGTGTGGCTGTGTTGAGTGTAAGTTAGCACTTTGGAATTACTGGGAAAAGAACTCTGCCCATAATATTATACACTAACTGTTTGGAGAAACCACTGTTGTTTTTGATTACCATCAGACGTACTATGTCATCCAGATTATTAGCCAAGAAGGATAGAGACAGATTATCCACAGTAATCACCTCTGCTCTCTTCAGAGCGCGTTTCATTTTTGAATTTCTGCCTCTTTAATTTTTTCTTTTGTTGATGTGACATTGGATTACACCACTGTATGCAATTTAAACGTATAGGATCACACTCTTCAGGTGTTATTGCCAAGCCACAGGTGTTTATTCCCACACCACACTGCACCCACCACCATGTCACCCAGTCTTCCACCAGTGTCTATGGTGCCCCTCTACCTGCACACCGCCCCTCCCCCAAGCCTTGTTACCAGAACCCAGCCGCCTCAGTGGTGGGAGCTGGCAGTGGCAGTGGTGTTCGCTCACCCTGCTGCTCCACCACAAGTCAGTTGTGGCAGTTGCTCCTCAGAGACCAGCAACTGCATTTGTGGCCGTTGTGGCCGTTGCTTCTCTGAACCCTTTTATGTAACAGTGTACTTCCTGGATCTGGAATGGGCCAATCAGGTGTGAGCTATGAGCTGATTGGTGCTAAATGGCCCAGTAAGCCACAGGATTGAAAAATGATCCAATCAGGGCCTCCCCGGTGGTGCAGTGGGTTGAGGGAGCGCTGTGAAGCTGTCCGCAGCCGCTGCAGTGCGGGTTCGATTCCCGGCCGGCCAAGGAGATACCCACATGGCACAGCAGACCTCTCCTGACTAGCCTGCTGCTCCCCTCAGCAGTATATTACAGTCAGTCTGCCTGTTCTGCTCCCCGCTCTGACTCTGGTGAATCCTCTCACCCCCCACACCTAAGACCTGCACCCCAGTTCTTGTATAAAAATAAATAAATCTTAAAAAAGGAAAAAGAAAAATGATCCAATCAGACTTGTGTTGGGGCAGCCCAAAAGAGGATATAAGCCAGGGTTGGAGGGAGCTGAGAAGACCTATGGTTCCAGCCTCTGAAGAAAGCAGGGACAGATGGTCCAGCCTCTGAAGGAAGAAGAGTAAAGGGAAGGCTCTGTTCCTGGCCTCTGAAGAAAGAAGGACCAGAAGCTGAAAGAAGAAAGAAAATGCATCCTGCAGCTGACCTCTGAGGAGGGAAGAGAAGCCGAAGACCTCTGTCAGAGACAGGGTCTCCGGTCCTGTGACATTGCCTGAAAGGTATACCAAAGGCCCTGGGCCTGGTGTCTCAAAGAGCTGTTTGTTGGTGGTGTTGCCCAACAGTTCACAAAGAGCTCTTAACACTGGTGTCTCTGACAGCGCATGTGGGAGACCATTAGTGACCATCACTACTGGCCAGTGCATTCCGGCACTTCTGGTGACCACTGGTGCTACCTGGGTGAGGTAGCGGCCATGTGTGGCCATAGTGAGCTCTTTGCTTCCCGTTTGTAAAATAAACCTCATGTTGGTGTTCCTGTAGCCTGAGGCTTCTTGCAATTGTGCATAGTGACCTGTCCTCTTATTGGGCACTGTCCTTTGTCAGGCTCTAGCCCAAGGGCCCCTATGGGTATTGTATTGCTATAGCCTTGGTTTTGGTTTTTGGCCTTTTGGAGCTTTTTGGTGGCTCGCTTATCTTAGAGCCAGGGCAGGCGGGTGGCCGTTCCATCCTTCGATCTAGCCTTCCGCCCTGACTGCTCCTATTTTAGTCTCAGTTCTTTAGTCGTATTTTTAGGGTTTGTTAATGGTTTTGTTTTTATTTGGCCTTTTGTTTTTTTCTCTGTGCTCCATATAAAACTGAAACCCTCTGTTTGTTTTTCTCCTTCTCACTTATTTAGCTTAGTATAATTCCCCCAGTTCCATCCATAATGCTACAAATGAGAATAGTTTATCTTTTCTATAGCCAAGTAGTACTCCATTGTATGTCTATACCACATGCAGATGCTTCTCATCCATCTCTGTAATAATCTCAGGGGTTACTGTGGGTACAAACAGACATATATACATACACATATGTACACATGCTATATGTCTCAACAATAGCTATATATGTGTGTATATATATATGTTATTCAGTTGAAATCAAATAGTGTTAAAATATTTAAGTGTACCAAATAATTTTATGTTACATATGTTTTACGATGACATACAAAGACTGATAATCATGGATTTGATTAACTTTTCACCATTCTAGTATTAATTCTACAATTTTCCATGGTTGAAATTCACTATTCCCCCCCAAAATATGTCACTACAGGTAATTTGGGGTAGGCATCAGTATAAATTCCAATGTATTTTATTTATATAGTTAATTTTTTTTTCTTTATGGCTTTGCTATTGAGACAGCCTTCATATTTGAGGAACTGGGATTTCCCTGCTGGTTAGTTATGGCAACATGACCACAGGGAGGAAGTCTTACAGTGGAATGGCAGGAAATCCCCTTTAGCTGGAAAGCCATCTACCTCTTTAAGGGAGCCAGGACAGTAGGGGTTGCACAGGAAAAGCTTTTGAGTTGCTGTTCTGCAAAGAGCAAATGACGTTTTAGGGTTTAGAGTAATCTTAACACTTTACACATCAAAAAATATGAAAACTTAACATGTGACTATGAATATAAATGATATTCCCATTTCACCGCGTCACCTACCTCATCGCCACAGCCACCCCCGCGTCCCCCCAGGCCACCCATCACGTTCTTACCAAGCATCTTGCAGTTCAGTTATGATAGTCTTGCTCTTCCACACACAGGGATGGACATTCTTAAATAGAAATCATAAGCTAAAACATTATTCTACACCTCGTGTTTTCAATGCTGTTTATCACTGAGGGGTTTAAGATTACATGAAGGTGGTTGTGAATTAATACTTGGGAAATATGAATACTGTAAATATCCACAGCAGCATTAGATTGAACAGGGCATTAACAGCTACAGTCCATGTGACTGTATGGATTCATCTCTGATAGCAGGAGAGACAGAATGCAAACAAATGGGACTATATCAAACTAAGAAGCTTTTCGCACAGCAAACGAAACCATCACCACTGAAACAAAAGGACACCCTACTGAATAGGAGAACATATTTGCAAATCATACATCTGACAGGAGACTGATATCCAAGGTCTACTAAGAACTCCTACCACTCAACAAAACAGAAATAATGCAATCGAAAGATAGGCAGGAGAGCTAGACAAACACTTCTCCAGAGACGGCATCCACCTCAGGGACATGCAACTCAAAACCACAATGAGGCACCACTTTACACCTGTGAGAGCAACCCATTCCAAAAACACCAGAAACAACAAGTGTTGACTTGGATGTGGAGGAAAAAGAGCCCCTTTGTACACGGTGGGTGGTCCAACCCCTGCAGAAAATATATGGAGATTTTTCAAAACATTAAAAATAGATCTGCCATGTGACCCAGTGATTTCCCGCCTAGGTATCTACCCACAGAATGCAAAAACAGTGGATGGCACTATCAAGCTATCGCCAGCCACTGCAGCTTGAGTTCAATCCCTGGCTGGCGAGGGAGCGTCCTCAAAGCTGCTTCGTCCACTGCTCCCCTCAGTAGTGTATTTCATTAGGTCTGCCTGTTATGCTCCCTACTCTCTCTAGTGAATCCTCGCACCCCCCGGATCTCTGGCTTACACCCCAGTTCTTGTATGCATAAATAAATCTTTTTAAAAAAGGAATGCAAAAACTAATTTTGAAGGGATATAGGTACTGCTGTGCTCATGGAGAAATTTACAAATTTATAAATGAGTCAGAAGAAAAAAACCAAATACCAGATGATGTTTTATATAGACTATAGAGAAACAAAGGAACAGATAAAACCAAATCAATGTAAGTCCTAGAAATCTGACTTTGGGGTAGACCAATATTATTTGACCAGAACTGGCGATAACTACATAGTTTTAATTTTGACACAGAATTATGCAAAAAAAAAAAAAAAAAAACTAGTGTAATTAATATGTGAAAATTGCAAGGAGGACAGTCTTTTAGTATCGTGTTTGTGGGAGAGATATCTCTTGTCAAAGAAAGGTAACTGGGGAAATATTTTACATAAAGCAATAGAGGCTCTATGACATTAGCAAATTGTTTCATTGAGTTTAATTTAATTTTAATTTTTTTAAAGATTTATTTATTTATACAAGCACTGGGTACAGTCCAGAAATGTGGGAAGGTGAGAGAATTCACAAGAGCCGGAGCAGGGAGCAGAGCAGGCAGACGGACGAAATACACTGCTGAGGGGAGCAGCGGGCGGCAGGAGAGGTCTGCGCGCTATGTGGGACCCTCGCCCGGCGGCCGGGGATCGAACTGGCACTGCAGAGGCTGCGGGCAGCTTCGCAGCCCAGCGCTCAACCACTGCGTCACCAGGGGAGGCCCGAGTTTAATTTTAATAAGCAATTGTTGAAGTCTGCCAATAAAGATTTTCCTAGCTGGTGATTTCAACACAGTTATTCAAAACTTCATATAATATTAGAAAATAACTTGCTTTTTATCAAACAGATTTGTTGTTGGACTCAAGTTTGACTTTTTGAGGTCATTTCTGAGGTCAGTTTTAGAATAAGAGGCAGTGAACAATGGAATTATGTTAAATCTGCTTTATACAGTTTCTCAATAAACATCTCTTAAATTTCAGATTGCATATATAAGTGGAAATGATTCCATATCGAAACTTTATCATTTGGCTTAATTAAGGTCGATATATTCACAGTAAGTCTTATTGCAATCTTGGTTTA